AGGCCTGAATAATAAATGGAATAACCTACCTTAGAATACAAAAGTCCAAAACACGTTTTCAGAAAGAAATTAGAATAGTTTTTCTACCAGAAAACCCCAAAAATTTTCGAGAGAGTGGGGTGAGCTAGGGGAAAATCGTGGGTCGATTTTGTATGAAAGGAAACATTATGAAACCAGTTGAGTTATCCAAAATTTTAACCTAAAATAGTTTGTGAATATTTGCCAAATTAGTGATAAATTTGATTTTTGATATCCATACAACATTTTCAGCTGCATTTCCGGAAATTTAGATGCCAAATTCTGACATATCAGTGGCGTATAATGACCAACGTCATTACATGTTGTTGTCGAGTTTAAGAGAGCAAGACCAAACGAGTCATCTGGCGGCAAAAATTAAACTTAATATAGGGGTAGCAATATGCACCAGATATATGCCTCTGAGATATTGCACGCTTCCGAAAACCACGTGGAGAATAACTGCCAAAATTTTGAATTTCACAATGCGTAAGTGAATGCAATAATGTACAAAAAGTGTGCGGGTGTATATATATATACAGTGAATGTACTGCTTGGTATAAATCTTGATGAACGGGTGGTTTTCATGTCTTCGATGGGCACAGAGGTTAATATCTAATACACATGCCTAACAAATAACAATAACAGCTAACATAACCTGTGTTCATAACATGGGTAACTGAAACCATTGAATCTGTTTGTTTATTATCTACTCTCTAATCAAAGTTACTATATACCACAAATAGTATAGCCTGGGTTGACAAACACCCCTGTCGGCCATCTTAGCATAACAATATAATATTTAAGAAATAATCTTATGTTATGAACCGAGTGCCTCTTGTTAAATCAGATCAGAATGACAGCAGACAGGAAAAGACCTCAGAAGAATTTTGGTTGGGCATTGTGTCTATTTAGGGCCCTTAATTTGTAATTTTTTTTCGTAAAAACAACTTTGAAGGCACTTTTTTGACGGACGAATTGGCCCAGTGAAATTTTGAATGAGTGATAGTTGCCGGTTTTCGAAAGTTCAATAAACTGCAGTTTTTGGTTGGTTGCCTTCATTTCTATTGCGTCAGTTTTAGTGTGTCTTTTATTGGCTATTTCAGGTTTGAGAACTCTTCTGTGGACTTGACCTGCCAGAAAGTAACATTTGCTTAGAGAAACAATCCGTTTTGTTTACAATAATAATATACATTGCTATTACATTATGAGTACAACGGCCCGATTCCCCACCCTTACAACTGTTGTGATTAAAGAGGGATAAGAGCACCGAAACCGCTGAGAGAGTGTGATTAACCTATTTTGAATAAATCAAACATCAAACTGCTAGTGGCTATGCTGTAACATAAGTTAACGATATCGAACAGAATTTGTCAAACAAAGTTAAACTAGACAAAGTCAATGAAGACACCCGGTAGTTTACCAACAATTGTACATGTATACTACAACCCACACAAAATTCTATGTATTACATATTGGACTAATTAGTTGATATTTTATGGAGAAGTGGTTAAAAATCGTCAGTGTCAGTGGTGAAGAACGATATACACTAGCAAATGATAACGCTATAATGGTAGGAAATTTTCGTCATAAGAAAATAGAATAAGGCAGATTTTGGTTATACACACTCATATCATTTTTGCTTCGAAATTTAATTTTAAGGCGCAGAGGTGCTTAAAACAAGCTTGTACTTTTTTCGTGATATTTTTCATGTACATTTTTGAACCGGTGACCTAAATATTTTTCCGAACAGTGTTTGATCTGTAAAGTAGAAGTACCTCCTGTAACATAAAATAATACAAATTAACCTCCACACGCATACCATGGCGTGAGAAAGCCGCTTTTTGCCAAAGATGTCCGAATGTGTGTGCATTGAAACCAAACGATGCAAAAATAATACTTTTGTGGTTGCCCAAACCGAAAAATTCATCCCCAACTTTCTTGAATTCCCAAGTTACTCAATGTTTTCTACCTGTTGTATGATTCAATTCCTGTTGGAGACGAGAAATTCAGTTTAGATCACCTCCTTGAACTAAGAATCTTCAAAACGGCCAAAAAGTTACAAAACGCTCACGAAGGACTTACCCACTACTGAAAATATATTTTCGTTTCCATCAAATTTCAGCCCAGGCTTCTATTTGTATATAATTCCAAATATTGACACATAGAATGTGAATAACAATTTAGAGATAATTTTGCTTTCCCATATATACCGAAACAATAAAATATATCAAATCTTTAACACTAGCCTAAAAGTTTGATTCTAGTCTCACTAATATAAGTATCCGGGGCGAAATTTTCTGTCAACAAAAATAAGGTTTCCGTAGTTTCTTATCCTTAGAATACAAACTTAAGAGGAACTATGCAGGGATCCTACCTAAAGAAGGGTAACTACACTACTAATCCGAAATTTCGGATTTTTGGATTGACCTCAAAAATTACTTATACAGTCTCATCCAGAAAGCAATGTAATTCCTCCATGACCTTGATCAGGCCTTTTCTGAATTCATCTGTTGGGTTTGTCTTCAACAATTCGGGACGACAGCCGTCTTCTGCACGGCTTCGCGCGAATTGAGACGAGATTTTTATCTCGTTTATGAAAGTCATAATTATCGGTTAATATGTGAGAGCAAGTTAAAGTTAGGTGAATTGTTAAAACCAACAGTAACTTTTTGAGGTCTCAACTGTCAAGTTCACGGACTAACATAATTATAAACAAGAAGCATTTGGTCAACTGATCGAATTTTTAAAATTTTCACAAATAGTAATAAAACATTATGATTTCATCAACAGAAAGATGAAAACTCCATTGATGTTTACAATCATTGTTGACTTTCGTAAAAAATTTTTTAACGAAGGCGAAATTCAACCCATTTCTTTCTCATGATTTATCCTGATTTTCAAATATATACCAACTTGAAAATCAGGGAAATGAGTCAAACTCTTCAATAATGTCAGAATACATCGTAGGTGTATAGTATACTACATCCTTTGTTGATCCACAAAAACATTAAATGCATGGAAAACTTAAATTTTTTGTGACGTTATTGAAGCCTGCGTGCCAAATAGATCCAAAAAATATTTTCAATGCAATAATAATAATAATAATTAGTAGTAGTGTGGCAGTACCAAAAAATACAATAATATTTGTTATTTAAATGTTATCAACTGAATTGATAATTTGGAAAATAATTAGCAAACTCATTCATTTTCATCTATTGAGAATGATATCGGTCAAAACAATCAGTTGACCTTGTTTTATCAAAACATTGGATTATATGAGTTAGCGACTGTGTCTATCAAGACTCCATTGCTTCTCACTTATTATTACAGACAGTCCATAGCCAAGTGAAAATCTGCAGGATTTGCTTCTAAACAACACTTAAAAATAAAGCACTTGGGTATTCTCTTCATGATCCCATTGTCACATGCTGCCAGTTCACAAACTTTTGTACTCAGGTTTATACTCGATTCACTATTTCTTAATATTTATTTCAAAAGTAACACCGAATATGTGCATTTACTACCGGTTTAACATCTATTGTATGGAGAAAAGCGTATTTACATATTTATATTTTCAAGATGGCTATCTGAATTGTTTATAATTATGAAATTATTGGAGTTAATCATTTCATCAATTCACAAATTGCTGAGACAAAGAGAAAATCGTTAGAAGGGTACAAAAACCAAACTCACTATCATATTTTTGGTTCAAAAAATATTGATGACTCACTCGAAAAATCTCCGAACTAGAAACTCATTTGGTATTATTATTTATTGCAAAATCGTTACAAGAAGAAATGTTAGAGTCAATCTTAGCAGTTCTCCGTTCTGTCATATATCAAGTGGAAACTATTAGAAGAAACCAATGCCCAAAAACAATGCATCCATGATCCAATGGCATCCAGAGTTGTTTCGACCCGCTGAACTCTCATCAGTAGCGCTAGATAACCACGAATGCATTGCTAGGTTTCAGTGTTCTTAAAGAACAAGCCAGACTTATGACATAATCTATGGAAACTACTCTTGACATTCTGACCAAGGAATCTAATGGTTGATCGCCTTGTAAGTAGATGGGTATAAACGTGAAATGTTCAAAACTATAAATTTCTTCAGTTGCCACTATCATTCGATTTATATAATTACAGATTTGATTTGAAGAACCGAGCGTTTAGTGTTTGGGAACTGACTGCATATTGGGTACTTTACAATCGACAACGTTAAATACTTTCATCTAATAAATAACTATCTTAATATTTTAATTTTAAAAACGTTTTAGTGTAATGTACCTGATGAGGTCCCGAGTGAAATAAATATAAAGCAAATTCTTTCAAAATACCCAAACCATTAATTTTGAAAAGTAACTGAATCTTTTAACGATAAAAAAAGTTAACTCAACCTTAAATGAATGGCAGTCTTTCGAATTTCGGCAGTTTCGAATATATAACTTTAGGAACAGCAAAATCACGATTTCATAGTCTAGCTGTAGACTAGGACAACTTCCCCGGGACCTATTTTCTTGTTATTGTGACTGTACTATTGTGGGATGAGAAGGAATACTGGGCTTAAATTTTTTATATACAATTTGCTTTTATTTTTATTCGGCCAGATGCCGCTGCTCTAAATTCAAGTCAGGAACCTGTACCCACTGTAAACTGTCAAAAAATGAAAATAAAAAAAAACAAAAAAAATTCGAAAACTAAATATATTTTATTACATGACTAGTTGCCTCACACTGTGTCAGCGAGATCGTGTATTTCTACACTAGTATTGTGCACGTGATACTAAAAAATAATAATTATATAAAGGTAATCGGGTAAATATGCCATGAACTGAAAACAAGAAACAAAAGATAAAAATAAAAAAAGGTGAAAATTTCTATGTTTTTTACCCCTTTCAATAATAAATGAATATAAGTGGTAAAAAACAAAGAAATTTTCATTTCTCTTCCCATCATGTTCTCCTACCACGTAGTAACGGCTACATCCATCAATTTATAAAAAAAGGTACCAACAAAAAATAAAAAAGAATACCAAACCAATAACATTGAGAAAATTTGTTCACAACATGTCAAACTTTCAATTCACTACTGAAGGTTTTCAAGTCAGCATATTGCTATAAGAAAAAATCAATAAAGAATGACAAGAATGTTCTAGTACTACAAGTAGTGCAGTAAAAGTGAGACAGTAGTTCAAATGTAGATATCAAGTAGATATTGATTGAGTTATAAATCGTCTTGAAAACTAGATCAGCAATATATTCACCATATGTTGTTGGTTAATTTTCCATATTGAATTACTTATCAAAATTTTTGAAGTTTCAATTTTGGAGGAAAACAGTGAATATTGTGAAGAATTTTGATATTACTGTTCCTTTGGAAATTTCATTTGGTCTGGTTGTTTAATTATTATTTTTCTTTGTTTTATAGTACTGTGAGTCCTTATTCATTGAATATTCCTTCACTTTCAATAAAGTTTGACATGCTGTTATAAAGAAAGTATAGGATAGGACGCATGACACATTTACCTAATTAATGTTACAATAATTATACCCCGCATCTTATTTGAAATTAATATGGGATATAATCATGGTAATTTCAAGTTATAGATATTGTACATAGAAGGAACTCATTTATCAGATTATAAAGGATCTTCCATATACAATATCAAAAAAACTAAAAAGTAGGGTAGCCTACCCTACGTGACGACTAGTAAAAATATAACTTTGGTAAGGAATGTAATTATATAAATAAAAATGAGAGATAAATACTATATACATTCAAGTTTATATACAAGTGGGTATAAACAGTACAGTTTACAGTGGCAGTAAACAATAACATGCCAAAGGTAAATGAAAGTTGGTGCAGATTTTTAACTTGCTTGCTAACTGCTGGTTTGAAAAACTTAGGACTTGACGTCAATAATTTCTAGCCGGTATATATTCAGGTATTCACTGAAAAATTGATTGATTTATGTTCACTGTTCGTGTATACGAACGCAAAGCCTGAGGCATAATCATCAAGTCTTTCTGCCAACTTAACACAACTATTCAACAAATGTCCAAATGCGTTCAAAGATGACAATGTTCTTCTTGAACTTCGACGTCTCCAAACCATTGAAAGTAACAAAAACCGTTGACAGGTCGTGAGATACGTCACCGATTCTATCTGGTGTTGAAACATGTTAGCAGTTTGTCGCTAACAGGCAGTACCATCTGTAAACCATTGGCTACAGTTTGGTACACGTTTGGGTCAATCACTGACCGGTCACTCTAATTGTTCCAGAAAATTCGGACTCTTGAAATATTCCGGAACCGGGTCATCAAGCCTTGAAATTATTTTATAGATTGACTTTTTCCAAGATTGTTCGGCGTCGCGGCCTTCTTGAATGGCTTTGAAAAACTCCCGTAGTGTTTGTTCCACCACAAACCTGAAGTTAGAAGGAACCTGAAGCAAAACAAAAATTTAATTGAAAAATGGTGTATACACATGGGCACATTAGTTAATGTATGTAATATGCAGTACGCATTACCAATACAGGGTGAAAATTGAATGAAAATCTGGCAGCATGGGAATGATGTTGGCGGGTAATCCCTCCTGAAAGAGTTTCAAGTTCGGATAACTTGCAGTTATACCGGAAGTACGCTCAAAATACACCACCAATACAAGGTGGTACACCTTAAATTTCATTTAAGACATACGAGTATATTCAATTCTAGCTTCTAGCTTCATTTTACCTTGTTTTACAATAGTTTACTGAAAATAATATTGAATTATTGTATTAAAACAAAGTCCCCCTCCGTATCTGTCTGAACGTGCGCGCGCGTTGAACTCAAAAACTACCGATTTTTATACGCTTTACAACAATTAACAAAGTGATTCAAGTGATATAGATATATATATATATATATATATATATTCCATTTTTTAAAATAGAACGCCCTGTATATCATTACATATTCAGATGCTACGTTAAATTCTGGCCAATAGCCAGAAACACGTGTCCGCGGTTTGCCCCCCTTTTTTGAGTGTTGTGTCCATAAATTGTTTAATTTTTGATTTGAATGATGCAACTAATTTTCCTTTATTTTCAGTATATTAATGTTAATGTAAGTCACAAAAAGGATTTGAAGCTTTATAACTTCTATTTAATCATCTGCGAGCGCTTTCGACAGCTGATCGTGCTATCATCATCTAGGATCTAGGCTCTACTCAAATTGAACGTATCACCCTATTGTATGTCCTTTTATACGGTCTGAACGTATACAGGGTATACATCATTGTATGGTTTTTGTCTTCTTCTGTTTCATAGCTGTTTATTTTTTGTGTTATTTTCGTGTTTGGCTTGTATGTGATGTTGACACCAAACCAAAAAACTAACAAACGTCAACAAGTACAAATCAAAACACAACAAGACCGAAAATTCAATATATTAAACAAATCAATACACACTCCTAGAAACAGTAAACCTAGAGAAGATCCAACACAAAGGATAGTACCTGATGTAACCCAAATACAGGCAAATTAACCTAATGAACCTGGAGTACCTGCATTTTAAGGCGTTCGGACCGTATAAAAGAACATACAACAGGATGACACGTTCAATTTGAGTAGAGCCTAGATGATGATAGCACGACCAGCTGTCGAAAGCGCTCGCAGATAATTGAATAGAAGTTATAAAGATGAGGTAATCTTTCACGGAAGATTCCCTCATCCTTGTATTTTGTATCAAGATGGAGTAGTAGAAAGCCAAAAACTTTCTTTCCCAAAAATTAATCACTCCTAAAAATATAACCCCTTCAATTCAAAGTTATAAATCCTTTTTGTGACTTACATTAATATTAAAATATATATACAGAAGAGAATGTGTATCTGATTTATCGTTGTTTACAGTCGACTTCTTCCAATTTTTATCACAAAGGCTGATCAATATATTCGAATTGAAAAAGTCCTTCTCAATGTTTTTTTTGTTGATTATTTTATAACTAGTGAGCCGCCTCGGCTCCGCACGGGGACAATATACATAGGGGCAGACAGAGGGAAGCGACTTTGTTTTATACTGCGCAATATTGGTAAGAAATCTAATGAAAAAGTAGTTTGGAATAGATCTATAATTTGATGTAGAAAATGAACTTGCAAGAAAATGTAGTGTGTTGCATTCGAATTATAGAAGTTGCAACCTATTTTCGGTTTACTGGAAGTGTTTCAAATTTGATTTTACTTCACTCAATTTGTCCCTTACATCGTTTTCACTCCGTAAAATTCAACATAATTTTCCTGTTTTAACTTTTTGTAGTACCTGCCGATGCAGTAGGTACCCTAAGTTGCACCCTGTATTTTAGAAATAATATGCACGAGGTTGGGTGCACGGGTAACAGAAATATTCTATATAATTCACAAAATAACGTGAAATATATATTCCAGATGAAGTTTTTGTTACGAAAACTTGAATAGTTTTCAGTAGAATAGTTTTTATTCTATATTTCGGTCCAATTATGGTTAATTTAAGAATGACTTCTGTGTGAGTTACAGAAATATGCTCTTTCGATTCTCAATAATTTATAACATAACCTTAATTTATTATGATATAATGCATGCATTTATAAAGTTGGATATTGTCAAAATGAATATGATAATGAATACTATAATAATTTATCAAAAGATATTAAATGATGATACTTCATTATTTCCGAAATATTTGAAAATTGCTCCAAATATTTACCATTTTTCAACCAACCTCGTCTATATTGATCTCTGGAAATGACAATTAATATTGTCAAAAGAAGAATTCTAACCCTATCGCTGCGTTAGGCAAATGATGAAAAATATGGAACATAGAACATAGTGATGATTGAAGAGAACAAAATCGGGGCTAGTAGGTCGTGGTCAAATGGAACCTGAAGTACCAAACGTTTCGTCTGCTACTGCGGCAGACAACGATTATTCGTTACTGAGACTTCGAAATATAACTTTCTTCCACTCAGTCAACGCACATATCACTGATGATGTCTGCCGAATTGACAGATGAAACGTTTGGTAATTCAGAAGCAAATAAGAGATACACAATAATGAAAAGCAAAGAACGTGAAAAGCTCGAGTACATCTGCGTAGCGAAGTTGAAAAAAATCAGTGAAAAAAAATATGTGTAGACTCCAAAATGAACTCAAAAAACTAATTTGAAAACCCAAATGATAATTGAGGTTTGTTTGAAAAAACATTCATTTGAAGTGCTAGATAGATGGGTGATTACTTATTAACTTGTATCATTTCGGAGTCGTCAGTTATAAAAATCATTTTGTGCGACAAAAAAAAAGCATCAAGCTGAATTTTTGAGATGTCTCGGTCGATTTCACGAACCTGTGGGCCCCATACCTCGATGTGATTATTTCGGTTGTAGTGTAAGTTGAGCACCCTGTATAACTCAGAGTCCCCACCAACGTGAAGGTCATCAGCGTTCTTGACACCTTCTGACACTGCTTGTCTTGCATACTTTTCCATTTGGATATAGTAGAATTCCCTGAAAATGAAAAATATATATTAACCTCTACAATCATATCTACCAATTTTATCGATTGCAATTCAGTTCAACTATATCTATAGGACGAGGAAAATTTTACAAATATAAAAGTTCAGTCAGCATTGAAAGAAGTTATATATCACACCAACACAAAAAAATCAATGAAAAATTGGGTACATTTGTTTCCTTTCTCAGTATAGACAATGATAGAAAAATTCAGATTTAGATTTAATAGCGGTTTGATGATTGAACCGAACAAACACTATTGTGTAACTTCATATTCCAAACATTAGTACAGGTACGTGTCAAACCCAGTTATGAGAATAACATGCTCTGTAAGTCTATCAGGTATATTGAAACGATTCATGACTAAAAAAATATGAAAAAATAAACTAAAGTTCATTCGAATTACATCACTTCAACGCTACCACTACTGCTACGCTAGCGAAACAATCATTTTCTCCAGTGTGTTTCAATCCAAACAGAAGTAGTAGTACTCCTTAATATTCACTGAACGCAAACCATTATCAACCTACAGGTGTTTTTTTCTACGTGATCTTAAAAAGCAAACCACTTAATGCGGGTTTGAACCTTTAAGAGGTCAAAGAAATATAGACACCTCACTTTCCAAAGTGCTGCTTCGTTTTGTAATTTCTTGCACTAAATACACAATCTGCTATACGCGGAAAGCAACAGTTGTTAACGTTAATATTTTACCATAGCTAAACAGGCATATTAATTATGCATGCCCAATTGGCCTATAATTGGCGTTTGAATTCAATGACATGACACTACCATGTTAGGTAATATTAATACAATCTCATTGCAAACATTTGGTCTATTATCATCTACTAACAGGTTAACGATTGGCTTGTATAAGGTTCTCAACAAAATTCGGGTAATGACAAGTAGTTGTTATTCGGCCAGCACTATCTGGTTCTTGGCCTTTTCTCATGTAATGACTATCCAGTATGTAAAGATTTTATATTTTAAAATGAGTAAAAACTGTAAATAAAGCTGAAATCTCATTAGTTCATCTAAAATATTGAAATTATTTTATGTCTTTTTCAGATTGTTCTGAAAGATTCAAAGAACATGTATTTGTGATACAATAGAATGAAAAAACGACTTTAAATTCGAAATATTCATTGGCCGCTAACAAGTATTAAAAATATTACTTTCAAATTATCGACCACAGAACCCGAGATTCATTTTAAATTTACAATGTGTCCAAGATAAGCATCCCAAAATCAGAAACCCTAAGAGATACAAAGTTGGGTAAATTAGGAAAAAGTTGACTATTTAAGAGCTCATTTGACATTTTGAAATTTTACTAATCAAAGGTTATTGTGATACGTCAATGAAGTTGTAGCGGGTGTTTTTTATTTCTCTCTTTATACTAAATTGAAATTGATGGTTTCTTAGAAACACCATCGGGTTGAAAATCGGTAAAGGCCATCGTACACAGCATAAAAAGTGACAATAAGAAATTGTTTTTGTTTTTAATATCTCAGGACAAATTGAAAATTTATTTAGAAATTCTAGTTGATGGTGGAGATCATTTTATAAAATAATAATAAAAGTAATTACCGGTGCGTGATAGCTTTATGTATATTTAGTTTAAAACTTTTCATGCTCTCATGAATGAGGAACACTTCAATAAGTAACAATAAACACTGATACTTTCCATTTTCGAAAAAAAATATGGGGAAATAAGTCTATAACATATATTCAGGTCTCGTGGGAAATCTTTCCGTAGCATACTTTCCCACAGTGTTTTAGATTTGTTTACGGCGCCACTGATTTAAAAGAATTCGAAACACCAGGTAAGTCACACAAGGGAATCTTGAAGGCAAAAGACGTTAGACAGACACAATAGATTTTAACAGCTGCCTTTTGATCTACCCTCCCCTTGGTGGCGAACCCTCTTTAAGAAAATTCCTTGACGTCTTAAGAATAAGGCACGCGTCTTGGAATAACGAACTTTACTGGATAGATTGATCAAAGGAACCAACGGTTATATCTTTTATTTAAACAACTGTAGGGACTAACGAACTTTTGGGGATATAATATTAAATGTTGAAATTCATATTTTATATTGATACTTTCTCTTGAATTTTTGAAAAAAAATCTTGAAAAAAATCCATAGTATTTTACAAAAAAGAAATTTATACTTTCTCAAATTATAATCTTAGCAGTTCTCCGTTCTGTCATATATCAAGTGGAAACTATTAGAAGAAACCAATGCCCAAAAACAATGCATCCATGATCCAATGGCATCCAGAGTTGTTTCGACCCGCTGAACTCTCTCGGGGTTGGGAAAAAACTATGATAAATAAACAAAACTTCAGAATAATTTTTTCAAAACTCAATTTCAGATGATTTTTTTAAATTCTTGGAAATTCTAGAGTATTATAAGCTTTCATAATAATTATGTGAATGTATATAAAATAGACCATTATGAAACATTGAGACTCATTTTGAATTCATAGACAAATATAGTTCATACGGGAGTATGACCTATATATTCTGGAATATTCTAAAAAATATCTATCTCACACTTTATTGTGGGATAGATTTTCACTAAACGGTTTTACAAAAACGCAATACGTGTTTCGCCATACACTCGCTTCTTCAGATTGTCAATTGATTTTATATCATCCACATTTGATTGGTTTTCTCTTATCACATTCGGTGGTTTGAAAAACAGTTCTACCATAAATGGTATGATAGTTGAAAGGTCTAAGCCAATAACCGCCGTACGTTACATTACTAACTAATCCAAAATATCCTCTTTAAATAGAGTCCATGGTTCCACCAGTATATAAAAAATATTAGGAAGACATTTTTAGCATGAAACTTCTGAACATAATTCACTTCCAGTTATCAAATACGATGTGAACCTGTATCCCGATGATCTTAATAATTAATGAGGATGCGAAAATCTCGCGTTTTTCACTATTCTCTCCAGAAACAATACATTCATGAATTAAAATTCCAACTTTCTTTCTGAATTAGAAAAAGATTGTCATAGTTCGAAGAGCTTGCTGGAAACAAAGGACACAAATTCGTATTGTAAGTTCATTTCAGAATTGTAACTTGAAGTTGGTTCACGCTAATTAGTCAATGCTAATTAAAAAAAAACACAATATTGAACGAGTTTACAGAAGTTACTTCTAAAGAACTGTGAATAGAATAAAAACCAACCAATCAGTTTGAGCTTGGTTAGCAGCGTATATAAAAATACACCTGCGAGGAAAAAACTTTTATAATTTGCGAGTTGTATTTTGTCTTCGGATACTTATGCCCAAGAAGAACTGCGCTTTTGATATATATTCATTTGATTTGATTCATCAGATGCGCTAAATTATTTCTGTACTTTAGATTTCGCTTACAGAATTTGGTATAAACAATTGATTTTTTTAAATTCGAATGCTACTATAATCGGTCTTAGAAAAATATGAGAAAAATTAAAACCAACTACTCACAGTTTCAAATAAGTTCAGGGAAGGAAGTGCATATTTTTAGAGCAGTCTGGTATTTAGTATGATCCAAACATAATAAATAATTGTTCTATAATTTCAAGACAATTGAAAGCAATGATGCTTGTTTGGAAATTGAATATAACAATAAGCCCATCTTTATGTGTCACACTTTTATAAATTCATTCTCAGTTTTCATTCACCTATGATGATTTTTTATGTCCAATTCTGTCTGTCTGTCTGTTTTTCCGTTAATACTCACAAGTTGAGAAACTTGTGCGAGCTGAGGACTAACGAGATCTTACGTTTTAACGTATGATTCCTAACACGGTTGCAGGTCGAGGCAGGAATCGAACCCACGGTTTTCCGATCGTGAGTCGGGCCCACTACCACTGCGGCCAATTCCAATATATCCAATATTTCTTTGAGGACTAGTGGGTTGCGTTGAGGCGAAGGGTTCATTGCAATCATTGAATCAACCGCTATGTGGAACGGTGGTTCAAGCCCTATGGCCCGACGATCGATTTTCCCTACCTGAAGCCCAACCCGTCCTAGGAATCGCAAGTTGAAAGGTTAGACCTCGTTAATCCTTATTTCGCACAAGTTTTGATTTTCAAAGTTTGCCGTTCGAAGCAAACCCAAATACAAATTTCAACAGATACTAGAAGTTTAACTGAAAATTCCCACAAATTCATATGTCACAATTGGGATAATCAACAATTTTCAGCCCAGTCGAAAATAGTTTCTTGGTGCGTGTAACATTTCGTAAACTTCAATAAAATTCAGAATAAGTACCTATGTGCTTCAGAAAATGGCAAAGATTTAGGAAAGGATGATAAAAATAAAAATAAATATAATAAATAAAAAACTATTCCAAAAATATGGCACTCAGTGCTAAAGTTGAAAATCATTTCAAATTATTGTAATTGGTGCTAGTTTTATCAATATTGAGGTTATTGTTTACATTCTCTTCAGTAAATTCTTTTTTTTTACATTAGTTGAATATCTATTTTAATTTTGGTTAATGGAGAATATCAACCTGAGCGGGTTGAAGCTGGAATTTATATTTCATTTTATACATTATCAATATCATTACCTATAATAACTGTTTGGAAATTCAATTATCTCTTGAAAAATTATTTTCAATACTTCAAAATATCTATTCTATTCATACAAGTTTTCTTCCTAACGTCATGAACGGTAAGAATCCACACAAAGACTTCTGAGGGTGATGTAGATGAATGATGAATAACAAATATCATTTGAGAAAAAATAAAAAACGAGAGGGGTTGCGTTGGAAAATTCATTGTCTATAATAGTTCAACTATCAGTTCAAAAAATTGATACTGAAATGAAATCAAGGTGTGTTATTTCAATCAAAATCTAACCGAAGTCGATTAAAGGGATTTTAAGTGACCGGAAGTAATTTAGTGGGAAACGCCTTCTCACCTCCCATACCGCCCATAAAATCATGGGACGTACAATCTTACCGCTAAACTGTATCAATAATTAATTAAGCTAATTGGTGATTATTGATTGTTAATTATTTACGCTTACATTTACAGATCCTATCTGGTTGATCTAAAAATAAAATGACTTTGTATTATCAAAATAAACCAAGTTCTCTTTTTTTTGTCCCTAAATATATTTTATATGCAAGTTTGAACAAACGTTTTGTTTGTTGACTGATGCAATGTCTTTTGAAATTCCAAAATCTTATATTACGCATAGGAACCGATTTCCTTGAGATCGTATTCACATTATTAGATATTAATTGCTAATTACATGCGAAAGCTAACGAGCTGAGGTTAGATGAAAAAATATAATGTAAAAGTAGTTCAAAACACCCCTAAATGCAAAGAAAAAGCCCGTCGTACTAATTAGTCTGAAGACCTTAATTAAGTTATTTTTAATTAAGCAGTATATTACGTTGACGTCGAGGGATTTTTTAAATCATCGAGGTCGTATGTACAACTGTGTAATAAGCTGGTAATTACTTCAGTTGATTGAGTGGTTGTGTATGACATAAAAAGACAGTGAAATGATTTTGAGGATAAAAACAGTATAGCAAATCTAAAAGTGTGTCATCAAATACTACTTATTCGGAAATAGTAATTGATGATCAAATATTTCCTTCAGTTGATATACAAAAAATTACCAGTATCAAATATTTTATTTGCAAATATTTTTATTTGCATAGTTTTTCAAATATTATGGGTTCTCCCTGAGGTAGAATACCAAAAGTCGAAATTATGACATCTCTCAGTGCCCTTACAAAAATTTATTTTTCACAATTGCTTAATCTCATAAAACAGAAACAGCAATTATGATATATTCAACCTACCAGACAATGAATATGAAATCAAGTGAAGTAAGGATATGCTTTTATTATAATGTTTGAAAATGCTACAGATATAAGTATCCACCTGGCATCCACCTTGGCCTAAGATGAAAAACAGAGGTTGCAACCAACTGATCTTCAGCCTTTCCCGTTTCATTCTGGGAATAAAGACTTATTATTATTATTAATATTATTATTATTATACGCCACATATGCAAACTGTTGATCTCGAAATGGAAGGCCCAAGATTTTGAGTCTCTAAACTACCCCACCGTTGTGAAAAATGCTATGAGACTGTGGCAAATTCCGAATGTGCAACTTCGGTGAAAAAAATAATAAGTAAATTCTCTACTCCATTTGTTCGAATGTGGTTAACAATGCTTCATGCTGAATTTTACTAGTTCGGACTTCCATTGTCCTAATATGATTTGAAATCTCTGGAAGAACAAATATTCATTTTAATTTCATTTGCTCTTTCAGAGAATCCAAATCATTTTAGAATCATTAGACAATAAGAGTCGGAACTAGTAAAATAACTTCTCTTCATGATAGCCTAATGAAATAGTTCTGGCGGAAGTATGAGCTCTTTGGACTGAGATATCTGACCTAAGCGTTACCTTGTTCACCACAAAAAAAATGTGAAGCTTCTACGATTAATAATAATTATCCGAGTCCGTATCGAAATAACTTTTGCCATTACTATGGTTTTCATCCAAAACCGAAGTAAACTTACTATGCTAGTGTAGGTGATGTGAAAAAATATGACCCAGGATACTCATCAATATTTCCAGTAATCCCAGTATTCAAAATTTTGAAAATATTGCTGTTGAAATATTTGAAATAATTTATAAAGCGGGGTACTATTATGTACAGAATTATTTCATTTCCTTTCAATGCCAGTCATTTTTTTTCTAATTTTCATAATATATGAAGACACAATTTGCGTTCCTCACTAAACGAAAGTGTGTGTGGTAAAAATTGAATCAAGTCATTCATTCTTTTCATAATTGATAATTGTACACTTTTTTGGAAAACTAATAAAGATAGAAAACTCTTGTATGCGATTTGACGTATTCGCTGCTCAATTTTTTCCATCAAATTAATATTATACTCGTACACTGTCAATTAATGTTTTGATATTAACATTAACTTCAATAGAAAATCAAAAACTGAGTTATGACTAATGAAATGTTGACTTTGTTTTGAAAAATTAAAACTTCAAAGTGAGCATATACACGAGGACGATCTGATTGTAAATGAGGAAGTACACCGTCCATACGCTTTGAGCTTTCAGGTTGTTTCGTATGGAGCAAATTGTGTACCTTCATAAATCGAATAATTCAACTGTACCCTATTGAACAGACTATAAGTGGAAACCAAAATTTACATTCAAGTTCACGAAAAGTTTATTCGTTTCATTAGAAAATCTGTTCTGCTCAAATTGAACTTTTTTCTTGATTTGTATTTTTTGAAGATACATTATCTGTTCAGAAATCAATATTTTATGAAATTCAGCAAAAAAATTGTATAAATAAATTCATGAGAATTCTCAAGATGGTTAATAATGGAAATGTTTTCTCAAAATAAGAAGGGATAAAATTCAGATCTCCTCTACATAATTAGGTAAAATTTCTTCAGCAAATTTTTAACAAACTTTGTCTAAGATTATTTTCTATTTTCCTAAGTCCTGAAGTTCAGATGATGGAGCTTTTATAATAATGAAAATTGGAATCGTGCTTTTGACGTGCTTGGATAGATGACAAAGAGCTCATCTTTAATCTTATATGTTTCAGCATGGCGATAATGATTAGTAAACAAATTCCTGGAAATGGTGAGATAAGTATATTGAAGTAATTGTTCATATACCTAACATGACTTCATTTTTGTTTGTTTAGACAGATGGGTCTACCTCGATAAGATAAGAAATTCAATATCGTGTGCTTTAATCTATCCAATTTGGTAATAAAGAATATGGAAAATACTTTGCGTATTAACCCTTATCTGATATCGAAGGTTTTTGGTTGAGTGTACTTGTTACGACCGATTTCTGAAGTTAAACTTGAGGTTATACACAATCATTTCTAAATGATGACGAATAAGAGCACAGCCACTAAAAAATAACCGTGTTGAGACAATCATAGATTACCAATTACTAAAGTACTGCTTATACATTTCAAAAACTCAAATGCAATTTCATTCTTCATTGGACTTCTTTGGGAAGAACGCTATTACTGTGTGATATAAACTCATCCATAAAAGTGCAATTGGTTATTTAACTACTTATGATGCACTGTTTGGAACCTTTGGTGTATTAATGACTATTACTGGAGTTTTTTTCCCAACACCAAATCTTTATTTTTAACACCTCGACACGTGTTTCGATCACCAGGTGATCATCTTCAAGAGGAAGATCAAACTAAAAAAACTCCAGTAATAGTGGTTATTTAACTCATCAACTGGGGCTGGATATCGCAAAAAGTTTTAATATCATATGAATTGTGTTATGTAATAAATTGATGGGTTTGAATTAATTCAAAACTTTTTTTCAGAGCATGTTATTGAAAGCTTGTTTTTGAAAATGACTTTTACAGCTTGTCAAACCTAGGAAGAGCCTTGATAATTACCTCTCTCTCTCTAGCTCGCTCTCATCGTCTTCTAACGAACGCACATCTAGTGGGCGGGACCATAACGGAATTCAGAAAGCTCTTGCTACATTTGACAAGCTGTATTATGTCATCTCCCAATATATCTAGATCCGAATCTGATATTTCATTATTCTTATTACTTTTTAGAGATGTGGCCACGTGGCACCGGTAGGTACTAAATTTGATGGTCAACTCGTTATTTTGAGATTAACTGTCTATTACAGAACATTGTGAAATAAAAAAATATATCAAAAAAGAACGACGCGAAAATACCAGAAAAATTAAAAAGTTATATATTTTGAATGAAAAGGCCTTATTGCATTTACTGAAACAAATAGTACCTAGATGGTGAAAATTTGGATATTTATAATCTCTTAATGTTGTTTTAAAAGTAGTTACGATGAAACTCAAGTTTTGAAATGGAAAATATCAACTAGGAGAAGCGTTAACCTTTTTGAAAAATATATAGACAGAAGTACAATTCTTCAATAATTTCATACCGTTTGATTGGAAAAAATTCTGGCTGATTGATATTTTCTTTGGCTCTTTTTTTTATTGAAAAATCATTTTTGGAAATGAAATTTTCTTTTCAGACTGGGGAAGGTTGAGAACATGAAAGTGTAAAAACGAAAAGAATAGAGTTCAAATCTTACCTGAAGTTAGAAAACCACTTCACGAGTTGGGCAGTGTTGTTTTTATTGAACTTGATGTCCGGGAAGTACATTTTGAGAACTGCTGAACTCGGATATCGTACCCAGAAGAACATCAGCTTGGCTTTCCTGAGGTGCATCGGTGTTAATGTTGACGAGTGCTCAGGAGTTAAGGAAATATTCGTCTAAATTGTAAAAAAAAAACCAAAATAGTACACCACAAAAATATGTGTAGAAAAAATTGATATATAAATATTATTGTACATAAGTGAAAGTTTTCATATTTTTCAAGTTTTTATAAATTTTCCATTAGAATAAATTCATTCGAAGTACCAAGAATATAATTTTTGACTTCTTTCTCTGAGTGGAAGAAGATGAAAAATTCAAGAATTTGAGATCTGGCTGTCATAATACACTGGTAATTTCATGTCAATTACCAATTCTTTTCTATTAAACATGTGGAACATTTCGCTTTATTCTCACATAAGTATTAAGACATACAAAGTGGATGAAGAATTCATAATAGCTATCATTGTAAAACTTCCTAATAACACACATTACAACTCAAGCAACGTTATTCAGAACTTTTTATTCAGTTACTAACTGAAAATTCCGTCCATTTCTATGAATAAATCATTGATTGATCGAAGTTATAAGTGAGTTTTCTTTCTTCGTGTAATACAATAAAGGTGTATTATAAGGATTCTAATAAGGTTTTATTTATCAGATCTGATTCCGATACCTCATCGAAAAACTTAACCCCAAGTCATAGTTTAGAAGACTTACAAATAATGGCATTAAAATGATTCTTTTTCTGTTCAACTGACGAAACTGAATTGGCTTCTGAAGAAATGAGTTTCACAAGAATGGAAGGTAAATACCGGGTAGTAAGAGAGCTGAAGTCGGATTTAGCATATCAGAGGAATACGGACAACTTTTACTGTATTAGTACTAAATGGTATCACAATTCGGCGTTGGTGCAAGTCAGAATGTCATTCTGATATTTTTCAAATTGATACTCATTTCTTCAATGAAATTTCCTCCGATTCAAAACGAGCACTGCTCCCAACACCACAACTGTAACACTTTCGACGTGTGTTCCACCAACTAAGTTGGTGTCTTCAGTAGATGAAGTAGCCTTCAGTTCATGACACACATCAACGATAAGTTGAGTACAAATTGGCGAAAAATTTCCTACCCACTGAAAATATGCAAGTGTGGTGCACGAACTACGAACAGTGACAAAGGTTTTATTGCAAACCGTCCATTATTTACCTTTACATGAATCACTCCGTTGAAAATTTCAAAAATTAGCAGTAACTTTCAAAAAAACATTCTCGCCAAATTGTACTCAACAAATTATTGATGTGTGTTCAAAGTATCAGATATGTAAAAGCAAGGTAAGGAATTAGTTTACTTCATCTGCTGAAGACACCAACTTGGTGAATGAAATGCCTGTCTAGAAGAGTGTTGGTGTTTGAGAGCATTCCTTTTGGTTCTGGTTTTATTTTACGACAGAGGTTTCAGTTTTACGTTCAAGGTTCCCTGATTCAGTTATTTGCGTTATATATTTTTTCTACTGAAGCAACAAAATCATTAAATGTAAATACTATACCAGTATTTGTGTGATATTATTTGTGATTTTTGCACGTGTTATAAGAATATACTATTATCATGAAAGTATACATGTGTATATATTATTATTATTTGCATTAGAAATTGTATTATTATATGCATATGAAAAAATGTAGTAATCCAAAAATTTATGAATTAAATGCGTTTTATAACCTTAAGAACGTAAATTGATAAGGTAGGTATACAGAGGTCTGTTCAGGATTCGATTCTTTACGATTCGAATTGGGTAGTTTTGCCTCTTCACATATTTTTGAAGAAAGAGGCCCATCTAGTGCATATTAACAGTTACACAAAACAGGCTCATGCGGGACGTTGTAGACTACCAGGCCACATTTTACGGCCTGCTTTATAGAGTTCTCATCCCAAAAAAGGAGGGCAGGACCCTCAGTAGGAAAAAAAATACTAAAAGCAGTTAGCTGTTAGTTCTGGTTTCAGTGTAGTTGAATCTAGTCGCATATTCAGAACAGAAATATCGGCGATCCTAGGGACCTAAGTCATTGATTTATGTACCTATGGGCAGATTTTATAAAATCAACCTCACAGATAAATCAATGAAATTGCATGACTCTTGAAATTGGCAGTGAAATGATAGAAAATACTCTCCTCAATAATATGATTCAACCTAACCACACTGGCCCTGAGAGGAATGGATCTGCTAATTCCCTCGCAAGAAGGTGAATTTTGCCAAACAAACACGAAATACCTGATCTGCAAGAATATTTTCAGACTCCTAGGAAAATCTAATAGAATTGGCCCATTTCGAAACATTTCTGCATCTTCTAAATTATGTCACCAAACAATTGTTAGACTATCACAGAAATGGCCCAATTGAAGGTCCCTGTCTGATACATCCTATGAAGAGACTCTGACTCTCAGAAGACAATTCGTACTTCCTTTATTTGGAAGAAGATGAAACTGCCGAGCCTGATCCATCGCAAGCCGAATCATGTTTTCAGTGTTTGATACTCTCATATTCTGACGTTGATGATTCGCTCAAATATTTCTTGATCTTATACAAACCCTAATTTAGGTTTTGTATAAGATTGACTTTGACTTTCTACCCTTCGAAACCCATACCGTAAAAACTGTCCATATTTGTATACATACTACAGGCTCCAGCTCTCAAACTACAAAAAGGTAGGAGTTGAAAAGCATAATGGTATCACGAAAATACATACATGGTGTGAACTAAGATTTTTGCTAAAATCTTTGCATAAAAAGGATATAGTAGGCTGCATTCCATCGTAAGAAATATCCCCTGAGTTGCAGTCTGAGTTTCTATCACCGTTGTCCATATTCATCGTTCCTGAGGGGCCCCTCATATGCCCGTAGTCCGGGGAGGCCCCATGTTGGGCTGCGGCAAGAAGCGCGGGATGTAGAAGAGTGGGCGGGTGATGAATTGGAGGTGACTCCCTCTCGATCTTGTGGTGCATACGGGGTGGGGAGGAGGAAGCCTGAAAAAATAAAATAATTCATAACTCTTGATTTTAGAAACAAAAAGTTTATTTTTTCTTATTGAAGAAAACTTCCAAATCAAAATATTTTTTTATTATTAAATAGGTTTAACATTTTTTATGGATAAACTCATTCTCCTAACAGAAATCAAAGCGAATGTAATGACTGTATCAAGGATAGATACATTGTATACTTGGAAAATAAATATTTCAAAATGAAATTTCAGATCATTCGCCTCACTCAAAGTTTCTAACAACCACTTTCTCGGCTAATACAGTTATATACAAGTTACAAGATACTACTAGTAGAAACGTTTGGGAAGTGAATGCTTTCATATTTAATTTCGAAAAATTTTCAATTTTATGCAATCTGTTTTCTTCCGTTGAAATTTTTATGGAAAATACTGCGAACCTCTAACATTCACTAAGAAACATTGTCGACCATTTTCAAACAAATATTTATATTCCAAATGAGAACAAGGCATTATGAATAGATGTTTCAATAATATTAAAAATTATTATGTATAAAAATCACAGTTGAATTATTGGTTTTACTAAATCCACTATACAAGAAATGTATCTTGATGTCATAAAAATTGTTTGAGAAATTCAACAGGAATGCCAAATGACACATGAAAATAATTTGGGAATTCATACAAAAAAATCCCGTTTTTTAGGAGACAAAAAATTTTACATTCAAATCTGATAGTGAATGAATATATACTGATAAACACTCAAAGTGTGAAATTGTATATTTAAAAATTATCTAATAATGATCACATCATGTGTTACCCCAATTTCTGTTATTGGTTGTTGAATGAAAATCCATGATAAATTTTATCAAAGAGGTTTGAAGTAAATACACAAAATGATTTATAAAAATTGGGAATTTAGGGAAAAAATTGAGCTAATAGTAAGTTTGTAGGTCATGATATGTACTCTGGAAAAATTAATGGAAAAAATGGAAAAATCGTGAATAGTTGAAACTCTGAATTGTAGTTTATTTGGTTACCATCAGTTTGACGACAAAAACTACCCCTTCTTTGATTCATTAGCGGCATATTATAATGGAGCTGATGGAAAAACACTACCTACAACTATTTATTTTCTGAGAATGTCTGTCGTATGCATTTCTTGAGTAAATGTTAGTTCTATTCCATAAAAAAATAGACATTGTTATTTTTTCAATTCGAAATATTTTGCATTATTGTTTTCTCACTTTGCGGGAATCTAGATTATTTTTTTAAATTAAAATTATAAATTGCAGCAACAACATTAAAATTCAAATATATATACACGTATCTCTTATACAAGTATAATTGGCCATGAAAGCAGATTTCTGAATATTTTTTGTTGAACTGTATCAAATTATATTATTATCTGCCTGTGAGTTATTCATTGGCATTCAATATACTTTAGATATTAGATTTGAAAAATGATAACTGACAGAGAATCTATTCTTCGAAAAAACAGATTTTATATTTTTACTATGTCATTGGTACGTTAAGTCTGTGAATTGATTTTTTTTTCATTTAGTAATAAAATTAAGGTTACAAAAAAGTTACCTGCATTGCCATGTGGTGGCCATGACTTGGTCCGTGGAAGAAGGGGCTGTACGGGGAGAAAACCTGAGATTCATGAAGGCCTGGGTTGGGTATCGCCACCGACGTCGGAAGGGAGACGGGCAACATCGGCGGCGGCTGGTGATATGGGGGAGGCCGTGGTGAAGAACAAGGGTTGGGTTCCATCGCTGCAGGGGACATTCCCATTCCGTCTTGTCCAAGTATCCTGCTAACCGTCCTTGGCGTTATTCTCGTATCCGTTACTTTATGTCTTTTTTTCTTCGGGGCAACTACTAAACTCAAAGCTTCATTCTGTTCCGGGGTTTCCTGTTTTGAAACGCAAAAAGGATGATTCATTCCATAAAGTGGAGCGTTGATACCTGGAGGTTTTGGGGGCTGAAACATTGGAGGTCGAATATGAAGATCTGAAGGTTTTTGCATACTATTCATATTATGAACGGGCATCATGGGTGGACAACCCGCGTTACCATTTACCATTTGATTCTGGTGGCTTTGGTGGTTATGCTGGTTCTGGTGGTTGGGCGGTGGAGGAGGCGCCTGAGGTCGTTCCGCTACTTTGGTCCTTGGTGACTTTCTATCTAAAAGTTGCGAGGCCATCATTAAATCTTTGTTGAGTTGTTCCGCTGCTGCGGTTGCAGCCTCTTGCTGCTTACACCTTTTCTGATGAACGAACCGGTGGAGTATAGAGTCTATCAAGTTTGACAAGGATGCTGTGATTTCACTTTTAAGAGCGTCGGCAAGTCCTTCCAAATCGGTACCGCCAGGAGTCATGTTCCTCATCATGCTCAAACGTTCAGTGATTTGATCGGGCTTGGGTGGGGTCTGTTGCTGAGGTGGTAGTGATTGTTGCGATTCATTGCTCATGGCATTTGTTGCAGCTTCTTTAGCTAACCGAGCTTCTTGTTCCATAAAAAGCTTGTGACTCACACCCAGGTACATTGCAGCTGCACTACTCATATGCTGATGGGGATTGTGTAAAAATCCATTATGAAATGGAGGACCGGGAGGACTAATTTTTAGTTTGCTCACCTCTTGCGCCAGTGTTGGTTGATGCTGTTGCACTGGTGTGGGAGTGCTGCTTGTCACAGGTGAAGGAGGTGCAGATCTCTTACTCTGTTCACTATCACTAGGAATTTCTTCAATTTCCTGACTTTCTTCCGATCCTTGCTCCACTCGCGTCCACAGTTGATTGTATTTTTGTTGCATTTCAGCCAGTTGCTCTTGCATCGACCTTAGCTTAGACTTGAGATTGTTTTTCTCCACTCGTTTTTGCCTGATCGGCTCTATGTCTTCTTCTTCGTCGTCTACGTATCTTTCTGCATTACTATCGTGTTGTTGCGGTTGGTATAACTTTCGTTTCTTGCAACCATTAACTTGCGGCGGAGCAGGGCTAGACCGCATGCTTGAGACTATGTTTTCAACACGAGCTTTCTTGGCATCTTCTGGTTTAGCTGGACTGGATGGCTCCACTTTTGGCGACGGCAACGATTCAGTTTCCATGCCATTCAGCGCCTCTTCCATAAGTTCAGCTTGCGGCCTGTCATCTACGAGGCCCTCCTTCATTCCCACCGAGGCTTCCATATCGTTACGCTCCGGACTCGTTTTGGGTTCATTGTTGTTGTTGTTCATGATGTGGTCCTGGCCGTTTCGCATGTCGTGTTCGAGAGCAAGAAGCTCGTGCTTGCGTCCCTGAAGAATATCCCGCAGCATGTGATGCGCGAGTTGTTCCCCGGAAGGTGGGCTGCCGTCGCACCTGATCACGTTGTCAAACTTGACGTCTTCACCGTCCGTTCCACCGTCGGGCTTTTGCCGCCCCAAGAGCTCGTTCAACATTTTTGCGGGCGCGAACCCCGGTCCGAAAAGACCGAACTGTTGCTGTTGGGTAAAAATGGCGCCGTATAAATTATTACTTCCACCGAGAAATGCCGGTCGCGAACTGAAGTTCGGAATCGAGGAATAAGAATTACGCGGCTCGCCGGCGTCCACACGCTGTCTAGTTCTTTTGGTTTTCTTCAGGAGCTTATCTGTATACAAGCCAAACTCACTCTCCTCCTCCGATGACATCATAAGTTGGAACGTTATTGGTCGAGCAGGTCCCCCTCCAGATTACCGTCCCCACTTTAAGAATAGTCGCCCATGTCAATACCTGAAAGTAGACAGAATGTGAGGGATCGTTACGGCGTCTGCCGAGAAAGAGGGCTCTCCGGCTGGTGGCACCTGCGGTCGCGAAACAACTGTTGATTTGTCAGGAGGCCGCGATCCGCAGTTGCTGCCCAACTCAGCGTCAGTTCGAACTCTTCACGCATATTCGAGGAGCCGTGATCAAGTGTACAAACAATAGAATGATGGCTATTGTCAGTTAGTTTTTTTATATATGATACTCAACAAGAATTGTAGGTATTCAAATGCATAATTTCACTCGAACAGAACCAAATATTATGTCCTTCCAATCGCAATTTTCCAAAATAAGTATATACATTAAGTAATAAATAGTCGTGATTTAGACTCGGAATATATTTGAATTACTGATATTTCTTCATTTCGAAGTAAATGGAAATACATATTTCAGTAGTATATTACCATCTCTCTCTCTCTCTCTTTCCTGACTACACTAAAATATTGTAGTCAGGAAACTGTGTATGCATTCCAGTTAATAAAAAAATATCAGATTTTACACAAAACTGACGTTTTAAAAATTTCAATCACCCTTCAAAACGACTGAAGTGAGTGAAATGATTGAGTGATTCACAAAGTAGTCAACAAGAGCCATTTCGAATTTATTGAGTTTCCCTTCACCAAAAATGATTGAAATATAATTAAGTAATTACACAGAAAATTTTGCAAATCTAGCCAATGAAAATCCTCTAGAGCTGAGGCGCAGAATTTGGAATAGGTATATATGAATACAAATAAAATATTTTACATATGATATTTCCTAAAGAAGTTTCACAAAATTTTTCAATTATAGTTACAGGAATAGATTGAAGTAGTTCTATATTGGACAAAAAGTTTTTTTTTGAGTTGAAGAATCTGATTTATTTTTTCCTAGAATTTCATCGAAATTTCAACAAAGGAAAAAGATATTGCTGCATAGCACGCCATTAAAAAAATGTTTGTCGCAATTGTTTTCTCAATCATACTTTTGTAAATTAACAGTAATATCCAAGTTGAATGTTGAAATTCATAAAAAACTTAATGATTTTCAAAATTGATAGCTTCAAAAAAGCCTTCAACCGATGAAATGAATTGGGGAAAGTTTTTGGAATACTCGCAAAAACAAACCATTTTTAACTGAATCGTTTATAACTTTTGTTCGCGAAACTTCTAGGCGAAAATTACAAATGCAGTAGACACCTCAATCATAATTTTCGATGGATATCACTCGTGGATTTTATGATGAGAAAAATAATGAGAATAAAATTAAATCCCAGATTTTTTCTGTTACCTTTTGAATCAAGTTCACTTTAGTTCAGTTTTCCTGAATTATATGCTTATCGAAGGTATATATGAAAAAGGTATTTTGTGAGAAAATAATGGATATTTGGCAAATTCATCTGTCTTTGATTAATTGATTAAGGCTTTCGCGTCCAAGTTGTGTTCTATAAGTGTCTGTATTTTTCAAAATAATAATGAAATACATTATAAAACATTACTTTCTATAATAATAATGATAATAATATATTTTTCAAAATAATAGTGAAATACATTATTAAACATTATTTACCCCATTGAAAATAAGTTCGACAATCTACATAACGTTAGATATACTTTCATGAAAATTTTGAACGACTATTTTACGTTTAAAAAACAAATTAATACAGTTTATTGTATGATCATAAAATGAACAGTATTAATTAGTTTCTTAATATTGATTTTCATTAAGTATCGGCCAGTTCTTTAAAAAAAAATCGAGCTCAATCGGATTCCATTATATGGTCGTTTTTTGGAATTGTTGACTTTCATTCGTTTGGGTGAATTTCTCAACGTTTCGCTGATAAAAATAACTGGTATCTACCAGTCTATGGAACATAATACCTACTCAAAACAAACCTCAATTAACGATCTTGAAAAACGATATAAACACCGTTGGTCTTTCTTTGATAGTTTACCATTTTTCCATATCAAGTCAAGTCCCGTGATGAATTGATCTAACAGTATTGCCAAGTCCAATTGTGCTTATTGTGACACCACAGAATCTATTGAAAACACTTTCACCACTCCAGAACAAAAGTATACTGTAAACTCGACATGCCAGTTAACATCAGCAGATGACTAAAACGGTACTTTTTGGTGTGGGTGCAGTATTTTCAATAATTTCTCTTGCACACCAGTGGTTCCAATTCTATCAATCAATCTGTTTTTCTGTACCACGAAAAATCCGCTGTCAAAATAAGTTACTAATAGATGTAATTTTCATTTAAGTTTCATCCAAATATCATAAGAAAGAACTATTACAGTAAATCGTCTTTCGCAAACTATCCAAAAGTTAAAATGAATTTTCCGAATGAATATAAGAAATTTATTCGAAAACGAACACAATATTAATTTAATATTACATATTCTTTTTTTATAATTTTTCTTATCAATTACAAACATTTAAGAAGATATTTTTATTAGTGAAGATTCCATACTTTATTTCAAGGCAGAAAACGGCTACAATACTTTTCTTATGAAAATTTATTGACTATGCGAACATGACAGATGGCAAAATATTGTGAGAATTTTATCAGAGTGCACTTTTTACACCATGGCACCGAATTCAGAAGACGCATTTAGTATAAAAGCTTCTCAATACAGTTATTTCGATGAGATTAATCGATCTAAAACAGCATTACGAAGTTTGAAAATGTGATACAAAAATTAATTTCATTTAAAATTCATCTTCATTAATACAAAAATTGAAGTTCTCGCGAACCTAGTCGCGACCTATAGCAAGTTCAAATATCTATTCGAAAAACACATGGGAGTATGCAGATTGAGAGACCTATGTCTTCCATGTTGAAGGCGAAACGCCGAACTACTGAAAACACCAGACGTGGTTCAACCCAGACTTCCTATTAGTTACTTCATACAACAATGATAGATGAATTTGAATTTCTACCTTATATATCGTAATTATTTTCAAATTGAAGTTTCTCACATTATTTTCATTTCCATCTATACTATGAAAAACTAACAAAAAGGTATGTTGGAACTTCTACTTCTTACTTATAAGGTATTCTATATGTATGAAGTTTCTATTGTCCCTTAAAAATTATTTTGGATTCAAATATATATTCTGCCATCATCTATAATTTATACACAACATGGAGTAGTAGAAAGCCAAAAACTTTTTTTTCCCAAAAAATTCTGAATATAGTTGAAATAATGATGGCATGATGTCACAGAACCATTAAAATAATCAAAAAAGATGCCTGATCGTACTTTTTCCAAAAATATATAAATTCACACGAGAAAGATGTGGAACTCCAAGTAAATTTATAATCGACCCTTACTTTCTTTTCATACACAAGTCCTTGCACCTTGTTACTTATTGCCCTTACCTGCAGAAGGGAAGATATATTGAACGTTAAATGCAGAAGATTCACAAAGAAACAAGTTCTATAGAAGATGTTTCACAAAATTTCTTTGTAATACCTATATGCTGGTGCCTATGCGAGATATCAAATGGGTCGCTGTAATTTTGGTAACTTAAGAGATTCTTGCCCTTAAAGGAAGAAATTGTTCACAAATGCATTTAACGATTTTTTCTGTCTTTGTCACACTCCTGACTTCTATTATTAATTTGTTAGGATTCTCCCTACTTAAGAATCTTCACAGATAAACAAGATTCATACCTTTGAATATGAAGCGACAAACAATTTACCTATACGGAAGACAAATGAAGTAAAAATAATATAACTTCAGTTTTAGAATATATAATTTTCCAACGGTGTATTGGAAACATTTATATAAGTGAGCTGACATACAAAAGTGAACAAATACATTTTCAATATACATATAATAATTGTGTAACTGATCGCTGTATGTACATGGAAGATATTCAAGAAAACTATTGTTGAGAATCTTTATTATCGCAATAGAACCCAATAAAATGATTTTTAGAGTTGTTGACTATTTGTCTTTTTATGCTTCTTACGAATATATTGTATCAAGATTATCTCAATATTTGTCGTTTCATGAATAAAATCGTCATTTGGTGTTTCATGTCAAACAATAGTTGGAAAAAATACTGTTGAGTCGATTTGGTTATCTATATTGATAGTTTGTGAAACTATTTTCATTTTTTCCTAAAACCAAATCATCTTGACTATATTTTCCTCAAAAGAAATTATTACATAAACTTTTTAAAAATCTTTTCGTTCAGACAACACTGCAAGAAAGTAATGACATATATTCAGATATTAATAAGCAAGGGTACAGGGAACGAAAAGTACGTACTTGAGCAGTCTGGTCTTTTGTTTTTACCCTTTAAGATGCGACGCATTGAATAGGGGAGACGTGAAGCAAATATGCAAGTTACAACCTTCCATGCACACCTCCTGTTCGTAAGATTACTTCTATGCTGATATTTCTGCATGGAAGATATTCATAATGTCTTGCCTTTTTTGAACGATTAAAACTACATGAAATGTAAAATAAATTTTCTAGAAATGTCTAGAATCAAAATATTTTCCAACGTCGAAAGAATAAAACTCTGAATTTTCAGCAGATGAAATTTTGAATAGAGATAAGTATAATCCTGTCTGGAAAATTGAAAAATAACATAAAAAGGGTCCATTGAGAGCAATACAATTTGAATTATGTTTTCGTTCATGACTACATTTGTTTCTCTGAATCATGTCCGACACTTCTAATAATATTTGAAATTAAACACACCGCTTAAAAAACTTACTGATGCAAACTAGTGCATCATTAGTGAAGCGCATTCAATGTAAAATCTGAGAAAACCCTTCATATATGTAACCCTGGTAGCAACAATTGAAAAATTATAAATCTTGAAATGAATGGTTGAATTCTGATTATCATTTTTTAAATATAAAAATGGGTAGTTTCCTAGGCGTCGAATTAGTCATCAAACGAAGTTACAACTCAATATTTATCTTTCTTATTCAGGTGGTTTCTTTCATGAACTTTTTTACCACTGAAAAAATTCCAGTGGTGAGTTTAAAGTCTGCTTTATTTCCCTCTAACTGAAAATAGCCATGGTATAATTACCGTCCATCTGTA